ACACCAGTCAGCTAGCAATTGTTTCCTTACTTTCATCTTCTTCCCTTTCCCCCTTTTTTCTCAACATTCTTAGATTGCAAGCTCACATAAAGGGGCTATATATTATCTATGTATAATTCTTAGCTATTTTAGGCACTTTAAAGCAGTGTTAGAAAATGAAAGCTAGGAGCTAAATGGCACCTTAAACCCTAGGTTAGGGGTGCAACAACAGAATGTCTAGGCACGCTTTTTTATAACAAGAATAGAAAGCTGAAAATGAATGAACGGCAGCCAAAATATTATGTTCATCTTTCTCATGGTCTAGTCCAGGGGTCGGCAAACCTGGCCTTGCACGATGGGCCGCAGGGCATGGTGCACACTGCCTGGGAGCTCCGCGGGGATGGGCCAATGGAGTGGCTGCTGCTCGTCAACAACGCCGGTGAGCGGGCAGCGCTGAGACATGCTCCTGAGCGTGTGCAGAGTGCGTTTCCGACTCCAGGTCCTGGAGGCAGCTGCGGGAACAGCTTGCAGGGTATATATATTTTTCAAAATATAGTCTGGCCCCCACAAGGTTTGAGGGACAGTGGACCGGCTCCCTGATGAAAAGTTTGCTGACCCCTGGTCTAGTCCTTCCCCAGCCCACCCCCTAATATTCTTAAAAGGGTCTCTTCTCCAGAGAGTAGCTAGAAGGGGGGGCAGAACTTACCCCTCAATAAGTGTGAATAGCATTGCAGCCTAAGGTAGGTGGGTAACAATTTTAATAACCTGTGTTATACCAGCCCCTTAAATAAAAGCACCTAGCTGCAATTTTAGTTGAAAAATTTAATGTTAATTTAGATGGCTCAATGCATACTATTTTCTATTACAAATGAGAACATGGCCAAAGCAGTCTCTTTTCTTTCTTTTTAAAAAATAGTTATTCTTTTAGGAACTAACTTATCTGTTGAATTACCTGGGTTGTGTCCACATCTGCCACATGATCAAAGGTAAAAATCTTAGGTTCAGGCTTTGAATTCAGGCGAATAGTGTTTGATGAAAGAACAGATAAGCACAAGCCATTGTCAGCGAGCACAGTTCCTTCTTCTAGAGGGCGCACCCTCACGAAAACCTTGATAGCATCACCTTCAGCACTAAAACAAAGCAACAGCTACATTAGTATACTAGTAACCAGCTGTAACATGTTTGTAAAGTCATTTTATTTTTGTCTCGTTCTCATGACACAATATGCAGACACAACTAGATAAACATATTTATCTTACGTTACGCCATACACGCAACTGCTGTGGAAATGTTATTGTTTTAACCTGCACCATCAGTTCATCTGATTTTGTTGCAGGTTGACAGTCGTCCATGCCTTTTAAAAAAAATATTTATTTTGGAACAGCCAGGATTGTAAATTAGGATCAAATTGTATATCTCTTGATCACACAATGAAGTTGCCCAATCTGATGTTTAATTCTTGCACACAATAATTAATGGATTCTTACCTGGAGGCTGCTAACGCTGTGTCACCTAAAAAACGAAAGTGAGAACGTGATAATTTAAAAACTGTATGTAAGACATCTATCTACTGCTAATTATTCACATTTCTATGGAGTGTCTACAAAAACAAGCTACAGAAATGGGGTGACAAAACAAAAAAACTGAAGCAATGGCAGACAGCTGCTAGCTGTGATGTCACACATAATGCAAACACCTTGTATTGCCACAGGTCTGGTACCCATACTCTGGTACACCTAGAAGGTGTGTAATGTGAACACCCCAGAGGTGTAAACTCCCCAGAAAGTGGGCTTAGAATAATCCCCCCCTTTTTGTCCTAAGTGGACACCCATTACTTATTGCATGCAAATTCATACTGATCAATTTACTTGAGGTGTTTGCATGTGAACCCCTGTATCTGTTCCCTAACCATAGAACTGGAAAGAGGATGCGGGAATCGCAACCAGGTGTCCATCCAATCTCTGAAACCACGATTTATTTATTTTTTTAACTTATCGTTTTTTCATGAAAATGCTCTTTGCCAACTGCGCCATCCGATTCACGTCTCAAGCCATGGGTAGGCAAACTAAGGCACGGGGGCTGAATCCGGCCCAAATGCCTTCTAAATCCAGCCTGCGGTCAGTCCGGTAATGTGTGCTTTTATTTAAAATGCATCTCTGGGTTATTTGTGGGGCATAGGAATTCATTCATTTTTTCTCTCCAAAATATAGTCCGGCCCCCCACAAGGTCTGAGGGACAGTGGACCGGCCCCCTGCTGAAAAAGTTTGCTGACCCAAAGAAAAAGAAGGAACATTTTATCATATGTGGTGGGAATGTAAGAAAGTAAAAAACTTCTGGGAAATGATATATAATGAGATGAAAAAGATGTTGAAATATACATTTTTTTAAAAAAACAGAACCATTTTTACTTGGTATTATAGGTGAGGATATTCATAGACAAGATGTTAAATTGTTTTTATATGCAGCAACAGCAGCAAGAGTATTGTTAGCCCAGAAATGGAAGCAAGAAGAAATTCCGACGAAAGAATGAAAGACAAAATTAATGGACTATGCAGAATTAGATAAAATGACAGGAAGGATTTGAAACCTGCGGGACCAGAGATTCACAGAAGATTGGAAGAAATATACGAATTATTTGAAGAGCAACTGTAATCAACAAATTACGCTAGTAGGACTACAAGAAGTTTTGTAAGGAGAAATATATGAAAGATTGCAAAGTAGAGAAAGAATAGATATTAATCATGAGATTTAAATGTAATAGTGAAAGTAAGAAATGTATATTAAGTGAATAGATTTGAAAATTTTCAGATGTGATTGATGCAAGTCAAAAAAACTGTATAAGATGAAAAAGTATGTTTAATTAGTGTTGAAAATGATATGTTAAAAAACTAATAAAAATTTATAGATATATAAAAAGAAAAAGTTTGCTGACCACCCCCACCCCCCCTTAAGCAGAAACAGATCCTGCCGAGTTAGGTGGGGCTTATCCTTAGATAACTTAAGAGTTGGAAAGGGACCATGAGGGTCATCTAGTCCAACCCCCCCGCCATGTAGGAACCTTCCCCCCCACCAAAGTGGGGCTCAAACCCCACAACCCCGAGATGAAAATTCTCACGCTCTACCAACTGAGCCATCCCTTCAGCACTACCTTGCCAAAGTGAAGAGCCCAATAAGCAACTTAGGAAAGGGCATTGTTGTTGTTGTTTAGTCATGTCCGACTCTTCGTGACCCCATGGACCAGAGCACGCCAGGCACTCCTGTCTTCCACTGCCTCCCGCAGCTTGGCCAAACTCATGTTCGTAGCTTCGAGAACACTGTCCAACCATCTCACCCTCTGTCGTCCCCTTCTCCTTGTGCCCTCCATCTTTCCCAACATCAGGGTTTTTTCCAGGGAGTCTTCTCTTCTCATGAGGTGGCCAAAGTATTGGAGTCTCAGCTTCAGGATCTGTCCTTCCAGTGAGCACTCAGGGCTGATTTCCTTCAGAATGGAGAGGTTTGATCTTCTTGCAGTCCACGGGACTCTCAAGAGTCTCCTCCAGAACCATAATTCAAAAGCATAAATTCTTTGGCAACCAGCCTTCTTTATGGTCCAGCTCTCACTTCCATACATCACTACCGGGAAAACCATAGCTTTAACTATACGGACCTTTGTTGGTAAGGTTTTTAAGATGCTGTCTAGGTTTGTCATTGCTCAGGGACGCGGACTTATAAAAAATATTGGGGGGGCCCGGGAAAGCTCATGAATAATAAATAAGCTCATGAATATGCAAATAAAGTGGCTCCGGCCCTAAATAGGGCAAGCCACGCCCCCCAGCCAGCCGATTGGCTGGCTGGGAGGTGTGGCCAGTCGGGATTCCCCTGTTCTCGCGGGGGCTGAAACCGCCAGGAGGAAGGAAATTCCCCCCGGCAGTGCCTTGGCAGTGGCGGTGGTGCTTCGAAGCAGCGAGGCAGGAGCCCCCACCCCCGGCGCCCGAGATTATTGGGGGGGCTGAGCCCCCCCAAAAAATTTTTTGAGGGGGCTCGAGCCCCCTCAAGCCCCATGGGGTCGGCGCCTATGTCATTGCTTTTCTCCCAAGAAGCAGGCATCTTTTAATTTCGTGGCTGCTGTCACCATCTGCAGTGATCATGGAGCCCAAGAAAGTAAAATCTCTCACTGCCTCCATTTCTTCCCCTTCTATTTGCCAGGAGGTGATGGGCCCAGTGGCCATGATCTTCGTTTTTTTGATATTGAGCTTCAAACCATATTTTGCGCTCTCCTCTTTCACCCTCATTAAAAGGTTCTTTAATTCCTCCTGACTTTCTGCCATCAAGGTTGTGTCATCTGCATATCTGAGGTTGTTGATATTTCTTCCGGCAATCTTAATTCCGACTTGGGATTCATCCAGCCCAGCCTTTCGCGTGATGAATTCTGCATATAGTATTCCTTTTTTTACCTATTTCTAAAAAGGGGGCGAATAGCCTCCTTCAGTTACAAGGCGCCCCACATAACCGTGTGTGTGTGGGGTGTTTGTGAAGGAGCCTCGGAACCTCCCCGCGCCTTCGGGGCTTGAGCTGCGTGTTCGGGTTCGACCCCATCCTGTCGCAAGGAGTTCCGCGGACCCCTCCCGCCAAGAGTTCTCCTGCTCGCATGCAGAGTTCCCGCGCCCCAGCCGGCTCTGCCTTCCTCAGCGCCGACTCCCGACAGCAGCTAATGTGGGGAAACCCCGCGGCCGCTAAATAAATGCATAGGGCGAAAGAGCTTTTTCCTCACAGCTCCCATCCAACCTCCCTCCCTCGAAGCCCCATTTCGCCCCCACCGCCGTCTTTCCTTACCTTTCGACCCGGGGGCCATTCTCCGCCCCGATAATCCCCCTCGGCAACTTCGACTCCTCTGAGGGCTTAAAAGCCTGAAAATGGCGCCCTGTTTAAATTTGGCGCGAACGAAGCTACCGCGGGGGCAGCCATTGTGGGGGGCGGGGGAAAGGCAAGGCCTCCGTCACGTGACGCGGGGAGAGAGGGCGGGAAGGGAAAGAAAGATGGCGGGGAGCGGGGTGGGCGGGGCGTCGGCGTGACGCGACGTGAGGCGCCGTCGCTCGGCTTTCACACAAGCCTAGGTTTACCTCAGCGGCACCATGAGCAAAAAGAACCAGGTTTCGTACGTGCGGCCGGCCGAGCCCGCCTTCCTGAGCCGCTTCAAGGCGCGAGTCGGCTACCGGGAGGGGCCCACGGTGGACACCAAGGTAACGGCGACGAGCGCCCGCCCCGGGGCCCTTCCCTGGCCAGGCGGGGGAAGGCGGCGAGAGGGTCGCCCTGGTGTCCGGGCTTCCGCGCTTCATAGAAGCGGAAGGGCCCACCGAGGTCGTCTATAGTCAGCGCAGGAATCTTTTGCCCAGAGTAGGATTCGAACCCACGACCTTGAGCGTAAGGGTCTCGTACGCTACCCGGCTTCGAATTAGGGTTGCAGTCTCTGTTCTGGCAAAAGGCGATTCCACCCCCCCCAATATATATATATCTGGTGCTGAAGTGACTTCAAAGCTTTCTTAACAGGATGGTCCCCCTGGAATTGCCACGATTTGGAGAGACCCAAATACATGGCCTTTCGCACACCGTTTCAAACACATGCGTTTGGAGAGGGTCCCTAACTTGGATCCTTGGTTAGGGATCCTCTCCCCTAACAGGTTAGGGATTCCTAACTTGGCAAAGATAGAGAGAAGATTTGAAATAATAGGACAAAACTATCAATACGGGATGTAGCGTATTTATTTATTTATTAATAAATATTTTTATTTGAATAAAAATCCCCCCCTTGAATAACTTTCTTTCCCTGGAGTATCTCCGCCCCCCTGCATTCTGTTCTCTTTTCTTAGGGAACATCCTAACTAATGAGATCCCAAATATTTCACTCCCAAGTGCAGTTTTATTCTTTAGCCAGGGTGGATCCATCAGTGTGTGCAAGAAAGAGATGGGGATAGGAAAATACCTGCTTTCTTGAGAAAGGAAGGATCCGATCACAATGACTGGTGTGCTGTTTTTGCAGAAACAAACAGCAGAGGGAGTGCAAGCTAAACTGAATTAATCTTACTCCTCGGACTTTGCAGCATAAATGGCCACTTTGACCAACAATCCCAAACCAGCATGCATGGAATGGCATTGTTGGCTTTTGATCTGGTGTCAAACCCTTAACCTGTGCTTCATTTGATAACAGAAGTTATAGGTAGACCCCCCCTACAAAAAAGCACACTCTAAATGCCTACGATTTAAATAGGAACATAGGAAGAGCTTGCAGGGTCGTACCAAAGGCCCCTCTCATCAGGGTTCAAAATTAGCAGGGCACCAGGAGCATTTTGCACCTAAAGATTCTCCATTTGCGAGCACCTCAAAAAGTCTGGGTGCTGTTTTTTGAACTTGGCTGACACTCAAGGATTACTGGAATGTATGTGCTTTGAAAAGGGACACGGGTGGCGCTGTGGGTTAAACCACAGAGCCTAGGACTTGCCGATCAGAAGGTCGGCGGTTCGAATCCCCGTGACCGTTGCTCGGTCCCTGCTCCTGCCAACCTAGCAGTTCGAAAGCATGCCAGTGCAAGTAGATAAATAGGTACCGCTCCGGCGGGGAGGGTAACGGCGCTGCTCTGGTTCGCCAGAAGCGGCTTAGTCATGCTGGCCACATGACCCGGAAGCTGTACGCCAGCTCCCTCGGCCAATAAAGCGAGATGAGCGCCGCAACCCCAGAGTCGGTCATGACCAGACCTAATGGTCAGGGGTCCCTTTACCTTTACCTTTATGTACTTTGAAGCCTATTAAGGATAGACAATATGTTAAGGTGTTTAACAATAAAGAGCAGTTTTGAAAACTGACGTTTGGTACCAATATTTTTATTGTAAACACCAAATTAAACATGTATTAACAATTTCTGCTAAAAATGTGATATTAACAATGTGTCATTTATGTGAATTGCATCTTAATTCATGCTTATCAAAATAATAAATAAAAAGTGTTGCCGACCCCCCCCCCCATGGTGACTAGACGTTCTGTTTTGGCGCCCACAACCCAGACCCCCAAAGCCATTTGGCACCTACCTTTTCTGTCCCAGTTTCTAACACTGCATCTCATCCATCATCCACAGTAGCCAACCAGATGCCTGTGGGAACCCCCAAAGCATGACTTCAGCACAACAGCCCTTTCCCCACTTGGGATTTTCCAGCAACTGGCATTCAGAAGCATCACCGCTTCAAACAATTGGTCCTAAACCCAGAGAAGTGCCTATGTCAGATTTGCAGGCATAGCCAGGCTCTTTGTCTCTCTTGACATAGCAGCCCTTGGGCTTTGCGCCACCAGCTGTTTGCGAAAGAAGTGGGTGAAGACTGAGCTTTGAAAGTGGTTCGTGTGAGTGAGACACAGTCCCAAAACAGATATGAAAAGCCCCGCTGCTCGTGCCCTCGAGTGCATGCAAATAAGCTTGTTGTATTGAATCTCTGTAGGCCTCTCTTGCTCTGTATGAGGGTGACACACAAATTCACACAAGCAATCCATATTTTTCATATTTAGGCTGTTGAAGAAGGCTTCTGCTGAAGTCATTCTAGAAATTAATAATTGTATGATTGTAGAAGTCTGGATGAGCCCTGAGAATGCCAGAGATCTTGATGGATCAGCTGCAAATCCAGAAATATACAGACATTATTGTGCACACGCCGTAATTTTTTATGTGTGCATCTGTGTTTCAATATGAAAATTGTTCTTTACAAATAATAATAAAAAAAGGTTTGCAAAAGTTTTTTTAAAAATTGTACGATTGTAGAAGTCTACCGTGCTGGCTTGGTTGTGAAGCAGTTGATAAATAAATTAAAGCCAAATAAATAAATATTGGAGCCACTCCAGACTTGTGCATGTTTATTAAACATGTGACTGCCCCTTTGGCTATAAAGCAGGGGTAGGAGTTAAGTTTTTACCCTTAAAAGGAGCATGTTGATGGAGGGGGGGAGTGAAACTTGCCCACCCCCCACTCAGCCTTACCCTGCCATGCTCCTCTGCTTTACGTAGTTTTTTCCTTGCCAGTAGTGGAGCCAGGCAGGGAGGGGCAGCTTTAAGCAGCAAAGAACAGGGAAGTAAAGATTGGGTGGGTGGGTTTGCCTCGCCTCCCCTGTGGGCTTTTTAAAGTATAGATACATACCCCCCCCCCCCACTGTGTGAACAGAGCATAGATCACTCACTTGGTTAGAGTGTGGTGCTGATAATTCCAAGGTTGCAGGTTCGATCCCCATAAGGGAAAGCTGCATATTCCTGCCTTGCCAGGGGTTGGTCTGATCATTAGGGTCTCTTCCAATTTCATGATTCTATGTCTATGTGAATTAGCATACAATTATTCTCTCTAGCCAAAAGCAAAGTCCAAAAGACTCGAGCCATGCAGCGGTCTTGCTGGTGTTAATCAGGTCTGGATCTAGTTGCAGAGCAGACCTTATACACACTGCCTTGGCAGGGCAAAAATCTAACAAATAGTATTTTGCACGTGGAACTTGCAGCAAGACGTTGGAGTATGGAATGCTCCTGTTCAGGGTTCCAGCCTGCCCTTCCAGCCATGCCCTTGCAAGACAGACTTTTCTGCAAGTGGGCTCCCCATTTGTGGAATGTTCTCCCAGGGGGGTTCGCTGCCGCCTTCATTATAACCAGGCAAAAAACATTCCTCTTCAACCAGGCCATGGACTGAATTGACAATTTGATGCCTTTGAATGTGTTGTGTGAAGTTTTGTTCTTATTATTTTTAATTATGTATTTTGTGTTTTTATAATGTTAATTTTATGTTGTGAACTGCCTTGAAAATCTACAATGTGAAGGGCCATATACAAGATAGATGATAGATAGATAGATAGAGTGATAGATAGATAGATAGATAGATAGATAGAATAGATAGATAGATAGATGATGAAGGCCGTATACAAAGATAGATATAGATAGAATAGATGATAGATAGATAGCAGGTTTAGTTTGGAACAAACAGGCGAGATCCTTTCTTTTAATGAACAAATGTCAAAGGGGGAAAAGGGAACAAGTATGATAAAGAAGGAGGAAAAGTAATATTTCCATTTGTCCTTAGTAACAACGCTTCTCTGACAGTTTCATGCAGTGTGATGGAAACCAATTTGTAGCTCTGCATTTGATGTCTCGTAGGTTTGATTGTTTTCCTATTCTGCCTGCGCTGGTGAGTGTTCTGGGGCTGCAGAAATGAGAAGCAGTACAAACCTTCAAGCTGGGTTGCTTTGCGTAGATAAAAAGCTGTCACATTTTGTATTTTAGATGCAAGCTGACTGACTAGTTGCACTTCACAGAAATCTGAAAGCATTTGAGTTGCTTTTGGTATAAGCTGTCTTTGAAAATCACAGATTCGCAAATCTAGACTGGATTCCAGAAAGATTGGGTGGATTCCCATTGGGATCCCGGAAGGGCATATATACACTCACGGGGTCTGAGCTGGCGCTGACAGGAATATGAGACCTTGGGTTGTACTGGATAGCTCCATGAAAATGTCAACCCTGTGTGCGGCAGTTGTGAAAAAGGCAATTTCCATGTTATGAATTGCTAAGAAAGAAATGGAAAAGAAATCTGTTGATATCCTAATACCACTATATAAACTTGTGGTGTGACCACATTTCAGATACACTGGGTACAGTTCTGTTCACCTCACTTCAAAAAAGATTGTAGAGCTGGAAAAGATTCAGAAAAGGACGCCTAAATGATCAAGAGAATGGAGCAACTCCCTAAGAGTAAAGGTTGCAGCATTTTGGGTGACTAAGAGGTGAACGTGGTAGAATTTTATAAAATTATGCATGGCAAGGAGAAAGTGGATAGAAAAAGCTTTTCTCCCTCTCTCATAACAGGAGAACCTTGTGGTTGTAGGGGTAGAGGGTAAAAATCAGCAAAAATCACCTGTTCTGTTCTGTTAGTGGAGGCATCTAGATCCAAAGGTCTTGTGCGAGTGCAAGGGCACCAGTTGGATTCTACCTGTTCATTCTAGATGATAACTGGAAGCAAGTTTTGTGTAAGATTTTTGCAATCTGTAGCTGTAAACCAGCTCAAGAACATTACATCTTTTGCCTAAAAGGTAAAGGGACTCCTGACCATTAGGTCCAATCGTGACCGACTCAGGGGTTGCGGCGCTCATCTCGCTTTATTGGCCGAGGGAGCCAGCGTACATCTTCTGGGTCATGTGGCCAGCATGACTAAGCCACTTCTGGCAAACCAGAGCAGCACATGGAAACGCCATTTACCTTCCCGCCAGAGCCGTACCTATTTATCTACTTGCACTTTGACATGCTTTCGAACTGCTAGGTTGGCAGGAGCAGGGACCAAGCAACAGGAGCTCACCCCATCGCAGGGATTCAAACCGCCGACCTTCTGATCGGCAAGTCCTAGGCTCTGTGGTTTAACCCACAGCACCACCCGCGCCCCACACACATCTTTTGCCTACTACTTTTCAATTAATGCTGCAATCCTAAGCATACTTACCTGGGGAAATAACATTGATTCCTGTAAGACTTTCCAGTGAAAATGGCTAGGATTAGGCACAGGAGTGACATGGTGTGTTCAAAAGTCCTTTAAACAGCAATCCTCAATACCCGCTCAATTGGAATTACTCCTGTTTAGGATTGGGCATTTACGTTTTATCTCAACAAAACCTAGAACGGCAGGTCACTATTTATCCCAATCGACAACTGAAAAATGAACTGAGGCAATGAAGGTGTAGTTTGTCCACGGGCTAACCTCACGGCAGAGGTAGGACCTGAATGCCGCTTCATGTTTAACCAACACCAGACTGCACTGACTGTTACTGTCTGAAAGTTTCCTTTTCTTTTTATTAGAAAAGTATTGGTTTCTTACTTACTGGACGTAGTACATAATTAAATGCATGGTTTGCCTCAAAGGAGCATTCTTACAATAAGACTAAATGATGTGTGGGATTCAGGTGATGTAGTTGTTATTAGAATTATTTTACTATATAAAAGAAGACCCTTCAGAAAGAACAAGACTCAGGAACCTTTGACCCTCCAAGTGTTGCAGAACTACAAGTCCGTTCAACCCTGATCATTGGCTATGATGGCTGGGGGTGATGGGAGTTGCAGTCCAATGATGTCTGTAGGACCAGAGGTTCTCCAGTCCTGACATAGAAGATGACAGGGAGAAGCTGTTCCAGCCAGCCTTCTTCCTGACATTTTATAATTTCATGTTCTGCCAATTCCGATTATTGTTTTGTCTTTCCCTTAACCAAAAAGAACTGGTCAGATGGTAGTAATGACTGCAAATCTTCCTTTTCTTACCTTAAAATTATTTTGGGAATTACCGTCTGAGTAGCTTAGCTTTCCTCCTTTCTTCCAGAGAGAACAGCTCCCAGCTGATGACGATGACGATGGAAGCGACAAAGAGGATGAACAGCCACAGGTGATTGTTTTGAAAAAAGGGGACCTGAGTGCCGAAGAAGTGATGAAGATTAAAAAGGAGGTTAAAGAGACTCCCAAAGCCACAGGTACGTTTTGTAAATACTAAGTTCAGCATTCTTTACTAAGCAGAAGGACAGTTTCTATCAAGCAGCCTTCTAATTTGTCAGTTACTTTGGATACGATGCCTATCCAACCCCCTGCTCTGCTCACTTTGATTTCCTTATTGCCCCTCTCCCTAACACTCTCTCTGTGTTGATCTTCCAGTACTGCCACCAATTCCCATTTCCCTGGTTTGCCATTGCAAGTCGCTACCTTTCTCCTTTCTGCATTACAGCTGCTTCCTCTCTAGGGGCTCCTTTGGGTGTGCTTTCTCTCTCTCTTGCTTGCTTTAGTTAGAGATAATAAGGTTAGAGATGCAAGGTGGAACTTAACAGCACAAGTGTGACGGCCACGGCAAAGGGACAGAAAGACATAACCGCGTTTAAGGCAACTTCTTACTGTTCATCTGTCTCGAGGGACAATGGAGTGCGCCTCCCGGGGTGAAATCAAACAGCTGGAGAGTCATAGTAGTCGCTGTGGCTGCAGAGACTGATAACTTGTAACTGCTGCCTCCTGCATTGTTTTTGCTGCGTTAGCAGCACCAAAGTGGCCTCTCTAAGGTGCAAACCTGGGCAGCGTGTATGGAGGTCATGGGCTGCTTAGATTAGTGTTTCCCAACCTTTTCCCAACCATGGCCCCCTTCTGAACTTGTTTCCTTCCTGTGCCCCCCATGGACACAATACAAATCTGAGGTTCTGCCCCATTAACAAAAGCCTGCCCCCCGACAAAAATCCTGGCTACGCCCTTGCCCCCCCTTGTCCTACTGGTAGACAGGTAGCTATTTAAATGTTTTGTTTGTAAACAGTTATTTGACACACAGGGGGAAACCTACATATACAGTCAAAGGTGCACAGGGAGTTCTGTATAAAGTGGAACCTCGTGTTACGTACCGTCCCCCAACAAATGCTTTGGGTTACGCACTCCGCTAACCCGGAGGTAGATGCTCCCGGTTGCAACTTTTGCCCTGGGATGCGAGCGGAAGTCGTGCTCCGGCAGTGCGGCAGCAGTGGGAGGCACCATTAGCGAAAGCGCGCCTCATGTTATGAGCGGTTTCCGGTTACGAACGGACCTCCGGAACGGATTAAGTACATAACACGAGGTACCACTGTATATGGGAGAAATATTAAAAGCAAGTGGTCCTCACTGACCTGGTGCAAAAAGATCTTATCAAGCAGCTCTGGCTTGCCCAGCCCTACCCATTGTTGCCCCACCACCGCACTTACCTGACCTGGGGGTTCTGGATCGTGGGCTCTACTGGTCAAAACAGGAGTCTCAGTGATCGCCCTCTTCTGCCGGAAACAAACCAGGACTGCTCCAAGAAAACACACATGGCAAAAAGGAGCGCTAGGCCCTGGTGGGCCGCCCCCTTACTCGCTTGTGATTGGCCAAGCGGATAGCCAGCCCATCAGGATTTTTTAAAAAAACAAAATTGATTTCTCCCTTCTCACTAGCCTCATGCTGTGGCCCCCCATTTATGCAATTTTCACCTATGCCTCCCCTTGGAACATCCTGGAGCCCCCAGGGGGCCATATGCTCCCCCATTGGGAAACACTGGCCTAGATAACAAGACACTTCACTGATGTGGTCCAAAGGAAAGCAGACCAATACATTTGGCCCCAGCTTGGCTGCAGGAGTTGGTGGAAAGAGGTGTACAAGACACCACCCTCAGGTTTTACTTCTGAAGCTTTTCTCACAATTGAGTACAGCCACAAGGCAGTGTAGGTTTTACGATCAGAGTTTTCCTTTTCTAAGATGGTGTACCAGCCTGATTGACAAACCCCATCTGCCCCTCACTTCCCTCTACAGCATGCGCAGAAACTGCCTTCTTGACCATTTGGACCTGCACTTGGTCTCGTCCGCTCAATCCGCCAGAGCCTGTCTTTTCATGCAGGGAAAGTCCTTAACTCACTGAGGGTTTGAGACCCGTCAGCTACCCTCACCTGGTTTAGCTGGCCAGTCAAAGCCATTTCCTGGGGTGTTGCTTCTGTCACGTGCTGACAGCTTCTAGGAGCCACAGGTGAGAGCTGAGTGCAGGGTGAGGACCAAAGGTGGACAAACTTCCCCAGAACGAGCATGATTCCCCCCACCAGAGTTACCACCTCTCCCCTAACACCCCTTACACCCCAGCTGCTTATAATATTGTGTATATATATCACAATGCACACAAAGGAGATAGAAACACACAAACATCAGTTTGGCAGTGATTCCATCAACCACATTTCTTCAGAGGATAAAGCAGATCTTTCCTAACAGAATTGTTTTTAGCCACAATCTAAACATTTTCACTTAACCTTAATTTATTGGTAGAAGCTAAATTAGTTTCTAAAAATGAAACGAGCTTAAGTCTGTCTCTGCACAACATTTTTCTGTAAACCTTCCGCTTGAATCCTAGAGAGAATTACTGTCCTGTCAAAGGTAATTTTTTCTGAGTTTAAATTTCATAGAAGCAGAAAATGGTAATTGGTGTATAATGCCTTTTTCATGTATTCATTATAATCTCTAGAATTGATTTTTTCTGCTCCTTTTCTAGTACATCTGGCCTCTGGGACATCGTAATGTATGCACAAGTCCAAAAACTTGGCAGCGAGTGTCCTTACTCATTCAAACTGTAATATTATTCTAGTCTTGTTCAATTTGCTTGGTTTCTCTCTCTCTCTCTCTCTTGTTTAGTTTTTTTTTTAAGCCATATGCCACACATTATCTGCTTGGGCATCAAAGTACACTTTCTACATCCCAAAGTGCTGCTTTAGCACTTTGTGAGTTTGTGCTGACGTGTAGCTGATCGGCAGCCTTACTGACTTGCTGTTATTTCAATAACCTTGTGTACCACTTGACTTTCAACACCGGGACAATAGATTGGTTTCCATCGCTCTTTATTTCAATACTTTTTTCAGGGGAGAAAGAGAGACATATTTAGTTTAATGATGCCGGTGGTCTGAGAATTGTGAGGTACCATACCAGTGGGAACATTAGAGCGATGCCTTTCTGAATAAGTGGCTAGAGGAACATGTACAGTTGGTGCTGGAGAAAGCCAAAAGGTTTGCTGTTAAGCTATTCAGTCTTCTGCCGTTAGTGAGTAAAGATCATGTTGATGAGCCCTCAGCCCTGCCGCGGTGACAGATCTACATGGCTTTCCCGCTTCTGTCTTGAATAGCTGGCAGGCAAAGGAAGCCTGGAAGAAAGCTCCATTTAATATGGGACTCCATTATGGAGAAAGAAACTGAGCTCTGTGCTGTGTCTCTTAAGTTCTGCACAGCATTGTGGAAACTGAGGATTGTATAGATGCCTTTGCAGTCTCACAGTACCCCTATTGAAATAGACTGTTAAGAGGGTGGCTTCACAATATAAGTTTTTAAAGCATAATGTGTGTGTGAAACAGATGCATATTTTCAGTCACATCAGGATCCCACCATGTGTGCATTTGTTGCTATATAATGTAAAGGTGGCCTGACACATGAAATAATGGACCTCAAGTTGGTCATGCCCATGAACTTTAATGAATCAACCTTGAATGACATACCTTCAAAGTGCTCCCACAGGAACCCCGCCCCCCCAAACCACTTTCTCCAAGGCTTTCTTTTTTAAAAAAAGTTTTTATTTATATTTATTTCAAATTTATACATTTCAATAGTTTTACAATCAATTTAACATTCAGAGTTTGACTTCCTTCCCCCTCTTTCTGCAGTTCCTTAAATTTATTTTTTAATCTCTTCCGCATATCCAAATTCATTTAATTTGCTCATTTAATTATCTACTTTAAATATATGCTCTTATGAGACTGCAGGTTATTACAATAATCCTGCTACTGTTCTTATCTGTTTGCAATTTATCTGTAAGTATTCAACAAACCATTTCCATTCTTTTATAAAAAGTTTGTTATCTTGATTTCTTATTTTCCGGTAAGTTCCACGATTTCTGCATATTCTATAAGATTTTGTATCCATTCTTCCTTTGCTGGGACTTCTGCTTCTTTCCACTTTGGGGTGAGTAGCATTCTTGCTGCTGAAGTAGCATACATAAATAAGTTTCTATACAATTTAGGTAGTTCTGTCCCTTAATTCCCAAAAGAAAAGCTTCTGGTTTTTTTTTACAAAAGTTATTTTGAACATCCTTTTCATTTCATTGTATATCATTTCTCAGTAAGCTTTCTCCAAGGCTTTCTTAATCACTGGAGGAATATGAAGTTAGTTCCCCATCATCTGGAACTTCTCCAGGTTTTTGTGGCCAGGGTTCAAAATCCAAGGCAGAGGACTTTATTTGGGAAGGACCAGGAAACTAGTAAGATCCTTCCTTAGAGCCGCTGCTGGAGAGCTTAGCCTCTGAAGGTTCTTGGTCCAGGACCACAGCAATGACACAAACAGTATTTGTTTAAAGGATTTTAAACAGCGTCATTTGTTTAGCATTGTCCCCAGTAACATTGCCAGCTATTTTTAAAACATTTGTTTCCTTGTTTGTGCCAAATATGTTCTTCCTGGGCAGTCTTAGCTGTGCTGATCTGTTAAAGTTTTAATGTTGTTATTAATGTTTTATTTTTCTTTCTGTCAAAATTAACTTCTGCTTCATTTCTGTAAAACCTAAACCATTCACCGGCCTACAACTGTCAGCTCACTTTCGATAAAAAGCAATTCCTCTCAAATTCCTGGCTTTGGCTGTTGTCAGGCTTCTAACAGCATTTGTTTCTTTTACAAATCCCTCTCTGAACTTTTCAAAGATAGATAGCTCATCAGTTTCTGGAGGTCATTGGCCCAACTGTAGGATGCAGTAGAAATCCATCACTCTTGTATCTCAGAATGGGTGAGATGTATTTTGTTCCTAGCTAAAGGAAAAGTATCCTTTTTCCCCCTTGCTTTTTTTGCAGGCCCTCACAAATCAAAGTTGCTTTCCTTCAACATGTTAGCCAAGCTGATTTAGGACTTCATCTCCACTTTCTCATTCTTCCTGCAAACTGCTTGCATAAGACTTTACCTGTAGTCATTCCTCGCTGATTTATTCCCCAGTTCACCACTGCTGACAATGTGGAGCGGAGTCAAGGGCTCCCAAAATTGGTTGGTGTTGTTGACTGAAAGGCTTTGATCTCGGTGAGCCAGTGTATCCTATCCTAGTTCTCTCATCTCTCTCTGCTGGCAGGTTTTCTTTTCTTCTGTAGATAATCTATGAGTCAAGGTCTGATTTTTTGGGTGTGTGTGTGTTTCATTAAAAACATTGTTACAGCATATTTATACTAGTCCCTCTGATTTCCACATCATCAGAAAAGATCAACCCTTTCTCAGTGCCACTTTAATTAGCACACCGCCATATGATCTAGAAAATCCACCATCCCAAAATGGTGTACGCCCCCTCAGGGATTGACATCTGTCTGCTCTGCATCTTCTACAATCATGAGCAGGGTGGATAAAAATCAATGTTGTTTTTTTAAAAAAATTAAAAAATAGGATTTAAAAAAATTTAAATTGGATTTTTTAAAATTTAAAATGGATTTTTAAAATAAAATGCTTTTGGAGGAAAAATATTTCTAAAGGTAGTTTTCTGTTTAAGTTACATTATAGTCCAAAAAAACTAGTCATCAGGAAATAAGGATTTGTTTTAAGTTTTTCATGTGTGCTAAAACTCAAAGGTTTTTTAAAAAAAATGTTTAACCAAATCAGTTAACAAACATGGATACATATGCTATAATGTTCTTGTTTTGGTTAAACAAATTGTTTAAATTTTATTAAGGAAATGATTCTTTTTCTCCTTCCAGTAAAGTACAGCAGAAAAGGTGTCCAAATATAAACTTATTAAATCTCATGATAATTTCATAATTATCTGTTATGTATTTCTAATAGTATAACCAAATCAGTAATTTTTGATACAACTGTAAAAACTACTCTGAAAATTTATTATTCCAAAAATGAAACCGCCATCTGGTTGTAAATATTAAGATTATACCAGCAAGAATGAGTCTTTCTGTAAAAAAGAAAAGGAAAAAAGATTTAAATCAAGTCTTACTGACTAGTGATTTAAATCGATTTGATTTAAATCAAATCCACCCTGATCATGAGCTTTCTTTTGAGTCAGCTTTCTGTTCATCACCTGCCAGCCCTTGGAGTCAGCCACTTTTCTCCAGTGCTGGGAGAGGCCATAGTAGCTGTGCTGTACCATTAATTTTGTTTGGAGTTCTGGCAGCTTTCAATGGAGACAGGTAGCAAAGTGGGAGTCTTGGCCAGTCCATGGGTAGTAAGCCATAAAACGAGACCTTGTACGGGAGAGCAGAGAGACAGAGAGAACATCAGGCCCAGCTCACTCCTGCCCTACCCGTTCTGCCTTATTTTATTTCAAAAGGCAGCGGCGTCGAGCAGTAATGGAGAACCAACTCTTGTCTTTGCTGAGGCCTGAATGCGAAACTCTTAGAATACATAGCTGAGTTTGCTTGGATCCCAGAACTGGTTTTAAATAGTGTAATTGTTACGACAGGAGTGCATTCTACATTCCACTTTGTTCATATTGAATCCACCTTTGCACTGCTTTCCATGACAGCCTTGATGGAAAAGGTACCATGTACCATCACAGCTGTGGCTTATTATAAATCTCAAGATAATGGTGTTGCAAGGGCACAGAGTAAGTTATTAAATGAAGATCAATCAACCACAGTGTTCCTGGCAAGTTTCTATTAGAAAATTGATTTTTAAAACATTCTGTTACTTAGTTAAGAAAAATGTGTTGCCGAGGAGAAGCTTAGATTTTTCTTTCAATGCTCCGCCACCTATAAATTATCAAAATTGCAAGCCATCTCAGCATAAGGCTTTGCTTGTGATTCATGACGCTAGCTTTCATAACCTAGCAAAACAGTTTTGAGAGACTTCAGTCTTGCCGATGATCTTCATCTCGCACATTACCAGTCTCAAGAGTTTGTCTTCATCGACTTCCTCAAGCAACATTTACTAGCCTTCACATACTGCATTATGATGCCCTTTATGCACCGTGGTTGCAATCCATCAGTCAGTGCCTCTTATGCAACCACCATTTATTTCATTGTGTGTTTCACCTAAGCTGTGCTGTGGGGTTTGGTAGGTTATATGCCTTGTATGTGCACAATGACATAGTTTAAATGTGTTGACCAGACCATGATTTGGCTGTTGTGAATGGGCTATATTCTGTCCTTCCAATAATAATAATAATAATAATAATAATAATAATAATAATAATAATACAGTGGTTCCTCGCAAGACGAAATTAATTCGTTCCGCGAGTTTTGTCGTCTTACGATTTTTTTCGTCTTGCGAAGCACGGTGTCGGGAAAGTTTTGGAAAACCTCAGAAAGCTTTAAAAACCTCAAAAAAGGCTACCACACCGCGTTCTATGAGTTGCTCCTCGAAGTCAAGTCGCAACTGTATTAACGGTGTTAAGAAAAAGGAAACAAACTTGCAAGACGTTTCCGTCTTGCGAAGCAAGCCCATAGGGAAAATCGTCTTGCGAAGCAGCTCAAAAAACAAAAAACCCTTTCATCTAGCGAGTTTTTTGTCTTGCGAGGCATTCGTCTTGCGAGGTACCACTGTAATAATAATAATAATAATAATAACAACAATAATGCCTTTATTGTCATCGTACAACCTGTGTACAATGAAATTAAACGAGCCTCCCTCCCTTTACGTACTCAAGATCCCCTTCCTGGTCTGTGGTAACTATATTATTTTATTTATTAATTGCATTTATACCCCACCCTTTTCTTCAACGAGCTCAAGGCGGCGTACATTGTTCTCCCTCTCCACTTTTAACCACACAACAACCCTGTGGGGTAGGCTAGGCTAGGCTGAGAAGCAGTGTTTGGCCCAAGGTCACCCGGTGAAATTCATGGCTAATTTGGGGATTTGAACTCTAGCCTTCCAGGTCAGAGTCTATTAAATCGGGCAAGAGGCAGTCCTTAATTTCAGTGGGTCTGCTCTTACAGTAGTTCAGCTTGGTTGGATACCATCCATACTGATAGTACCTGGAAAAAATAAGGAAACTTTCAAGTTTAGGGTCGTTTTATTTTTTTAATTTTCATTTATGAATACTATTTAAGTTAACTGTGTTCTAACCTACTACATTAGTTACGAAGATTCTTTGTAAAGTTTGCCAGTTTCCTTCAAATAGTTGCATCAGATTTCTTCCACTCTTGCTCATTTTGGAGTCCGGTGATCCTGGGCTTTCATATATGAAATTTTGAGAAATTTCATTAGAGTAACTCAGATCAACATATTACAGTGGCAGCACATCACTGGGCCAACCTGACCTTGTTATGACTTCCACCACATATAGTGTAACTAAGACAGAATTGGGGGTGGGGTGGCGTATTTAGACAAATTAATATTGAGAAAGACGGAAGGCTACCTTATAATGGCTTAGACAGCCTTTCTCAACCTGTGGGTCCCCAGATCTTGTTGGACTACAACTCCCATCACCCCTAGCTAGCAAGGCCAGAGCTCAGGGATCATGGGAGTTGTAGTCCAACAACATCTGGGGACCCACAGGTTGAGAACCACTGTCTCAGACCATTGCTTCATTTTAATATTGTCTGCAGTGGCTCTCAGAGTTTCAGATTGTGGTGTCTCTCAGCCTTTGCCTGAAGATACTGCAGAATAAGCTTATGCACTGCTGCAGCCTTTTCCCAGGATACTTGAGCTATCCGGTAGGATTATCATACTTTTTTGAAACTCAGAAGGTGGGAAAGTAGAGATGCGAGAGTGTGCACATAAGGACTATTTGCATTCTTACCCTAGATGAAGAAGCTGACTCTGGAGATGGAAAGATTATGTTTAGGAAACCTCCTAAGCGTTCATCAGAAGAGAAGTACTCCGGTTTGACGGCCACATCAAGTAAGAAGAGAAAAGAGACAAAGAGGATTTCTCCAACCTCCCAAAATACAACCAAGCAAGTAAAAAATAGCAGCTTGCTTTCGTTTGATGAAGACGAGAGTGATGATTAGGAGCAGATTTGGATAGACATACAGTTTTTCCTCACAGGCAGAAAGTTGCGCTGAGCGCACCATGGAAACAGAATGGGACTTTTAATTTTATTTTATGCACATCTATAGTCATGAAAGATCTTTGAACAAAACTATGGGAAAAAATGAAATCCGTACAAGTTTAATATTCCACATAATGGAATCTTTATTGGTGCACATATAAATTTTCAGAGAGATTTATCTGCCAGCCAGTCCCCTTATTTTGTTTCCACAAGAATTTAGTGTCAAAAGACGGCATCTGTATGTGCATATTTACTCAATTACACCTGATTACCCAAACGGAGGAATGTAAGGTCTGTTTACAGTGGACTAAAAATGTATAATGTTGCTTTGGCAAAGCTGTCTGTCGTATCTCAAAAGGACCGAAAGAATTGCTGGGATTCTGATCACACTGGGCATATTGATTTCAAAAGAAGAAACCCAGCCGCAGAGTGTCCTTTAGTGGAAAAATATTTGGAAGTTCAGTGTGTTCTGTAACCAGGAATGGATTGTGTGTTGCTACAAAACATGTAGCAGGATTAACAATGTAAAGCTTCATCAAGGAGCTGGTCCGATGTTGCTGGGTGCAACAGCTGTTTTTAGTATAGCTGATATTTTAATGCCACGATTAAATGGCTGCGTGAAATTATTTTCTGTGATTCCGTTTTTACCCACTGTTCTTGAGAGAATAAAACTGTTTCTCCCCAGGCTATAACTTAAACTTTCTTAGCAGTATTTTCCCCCAAATTATAAATGATTATCCTTTAATCTAGAAGGTAACAGAGGCTCCAAACATATGGAGACTGAAAAGACCCCAATGAATGGATTATCCAGTCTCACTCTGAGTCTTAAGAAAGGATATCCTGTTTCCAAAGCATTCGGGACAGATGCTTAGGTACAGCCCACTTCTTTCTTATATGACCTCACATCATCTCTGATAACTAAGAGTACAAACTGTGGTTATGCCATTGAGTTTCACTTCCTCCTTCCCCTTTTGTCTTAGTGACAGCAGTTAAGCATAGCATCCTTTCCCCTTGGAGCAGACTGTGAAGCTGCTCAGCATGTGCAAATGTCCCATGTGGAGAGGCAACACAACGTCTTCCTCAATTTATTTCACTAATCCAGAGAAGGGGACATCACCCAGTTAAAGAGTTAAGGGCATTCAGTGGGCTTATGCCAACTATGATATTCAGAAAAATATCTATGACAGGCATCTTCCCATATGGGATTTGTGGGTGCATATATCTGCATGTAGTCGGCACCACATACCACTGGAAGTTCCTGTCAGGATCCGTCCTACTCTGGAGTAGAACCCTGATAGAGACACATGCCCGACTGGCATGTTCTCTCCCTCCTGGTCATTCGTTCAGGAGATTCAAAAGCTTTCTTCAGCCCAAACATCACAGTGACCAATGCCAACAGACATCGGCACACTTAGGGATCTGCAGAGTGTTTGCAGTTTGCATAACAGACCTCAGCAACTCAGCATTTTGGCTAATCTACTTTATTTACATATTAACACACACAGAACATTCTGACTTAGCTCCTTCCTCTTTCTCATCAGACAGCAAAGAGAAAGAACAAAGGACAATAGCCCCACTTCACGGAACACAGTAACACAATCATCCTTTCTCCGTCACTTCCCACTCTGTGGAGTCAAAACATACACCATCATGTGATAGACCAGTGTTTCCCAACCGGTGTTCCGCGGCACACGAGTGTGCCGTGAGACGTTGCCTCGTGTGCCGCGAGATGCCTGGAGGGAGGCGGGCGAGTCGGGCGGCGAGAGGCGGGGCGGCGGCGGCGAGGAGAGGCCGCGCCTCCTGCTGTTGCCTGGCGCTCCTCCTCGCAGCCGGAAGCGCTGCCTGGGCGCCTCCGCGCGACTCTGCCTCGCTGGGTTTGGTCTCCCAGCAGAGACGGGTCACACGCGCCCCTCCCTCCCTCCCTCAGCCTGCGCGGAGGGAGAGCCAGAGAGAGGCATCGCTCCTGCGCGGCGGGAGAGGGAGCAGCCGGAGCGATGCCCCAAACGAACGCATGGGACCGGAGGGGAAATCCTCTCCGAGGCGGATTGAGCGCAGCTGAGAGAAGCCTTTCGAGGAGCTGCCGTGTCCCCTGGAAACCCCCTTCCCAGCTCTGCCTCAGCCGCCGCCGCCTCAGTTGCCGCCGTCCCTCAGTCCCTCGCTCTGCTGCCTCCTCCCACCCCCAAAGCTTGGAGGTTCCCCAGCAAGGGGGAGGGAAAAAACTTTCACTTTTGTGCGTCCCTCCCGGCGTGACGCTGCGCGCTGACGTCACGGGGCGGGGCTTTAATGGTGGTGTGCCGCGAGATTTTTTTCAGTAAACAGGTGTGCCGTTGCCCAAAAACGTTTGGGAAACACTGTGATAGACAACAATCCCATGACTGCAATCATGGAGCAGGAATCTTAACAGTTCCTAGATTCATAAGAGAGGATGTGCAGAATTATCATCGTTGGTGCCTGTTTAGCCATGGCCACTGTGGTGATCAGACTAGTGCAGCAGCTGAATGGCTGATGGTAGCAACTGCCTTTACTTCCCTTCCTGATATCCCAGGGCTACAGCAACACATAACATCGCCATGTGCAAATCCTCCTCCTGACAATGTGACACATTCTCACACACTTGGTAGAATAGAGTATGGTGAAGAGGAGACCTTCTGTGCCCGGGTGTCCTCTGGACAGAAAGAGTGACTGATTTCTTGGATAGTTTATGAACCAAAGAGTAGCTCCATCTTTCTGCAGATCAGTTTGTGTATTGGAATGCATATCTCTGAAATGCAGCTTTCTCAAGATACAGTGGTACCTCGGTTTTCGAGCATCTCGGAAGCCGAACGTTTTGGTTTTTGAACGCCGGAAACCTGGAAGTAATTGCTTCCGTTTTTGAACGCGTCTTGGAAGTTGGACGTGCTTTTCAATTTTTCCAATTGACCTTGCAGCCAGCCCTTTGCTCCTCGGTTTTTCAAACGTTTCAGAAGTTGAACGGTCTTCTGGAAAGGATTACATTCGAGAACCTAAAGTACCACTGTACCACAATTACAGAAACTGCTAATGCAGACAAATAATAAACAAACAAATAAATAGTTTATATGAACTGCCCTTGGTTTTGGCTAAAATGGAGCTTACATATACACACACTTCCTGGTTGGTTCCACTGCCATTTCCTCTTTTCAGCAGGTTTGAAAGTAATAAGGATACAGTAATAAGGGACAGTTGATGGAGCAGAAGCTTTGGTCTAAAAGAAGGTTTGGCCTGCAGGTCATGGTAAGAGACCGGGCCTGGATTTGAGAGAGATGGAAGATGGCATGCTGAAAGGAGGGAAGAACTTTAAGGATGGAGTTCTATTAGAGAGAAAACAGTTTACATTCAGGCTGAAGAAGTGGTTGGGGCTATTTGGAGTGGGATGGAACTCACCCGTAACACAAAAGCACACACGGAAGTTGCTGAACTACAACTCCCATCATCCCAGACCATTGGCTATACTGACTGGGGCTGATGGTAACTGGGTTCCAAGAACATCCATAGACTACATACTGCTATAGTAAGCCTAAACAGGTATGCACATTGTGCATTATGCATGATTGTAGACTTCTGTTGCTAAACTAAAAGGAAAACTAATGTTCACTTCCAGAAGAAAAAGGGCAATGAGAATTTTGTGTTTCTGGGATGTGACTGTTATCAAATATTGTTTATGCTGATCACCGTAGTGTATAGCTGTTTGCCTGCTTAACCAATGAATAAATGTACTCTCCAAGGAACTGGAAGTGCGCCAGAAATCCTCTGGACTCTGTTTTCTACACAGAAATGCTCCCTGTGCATTTTTTCCCACACAGTCGGCAAAGCAACTCACATTAGCTGAAAGGTAATTCCAGCGCTGTGTTTATCAAGGTGGTGAATGATGCCCAAAAGATCAAAGAGAATTAAATTGACCTTGAAAGCAGGAAGGGGCCTGGCGAGAGAGAGAAACCATCGAGCTGATTCTACATAGGCAGAAACAGTTGTTAGGAGCATAGTAAGCAATTGTATTTAAGACCCGTCCTTTTTGAGAGTGCTACTAGGGTTCAGTGAACAGAGCATGCAGGCCACTTGCCTACTGTTTTCTTTGCTGTGCTGCCCCATGTACAATCTGCCTTCAACAGGTTCATTATTGGCTTGGTGGCTTTTCCTCTGTACACAGTTCAGCAGGGACAAAAAAAGCACTCAGAGTAGGGCAAACCTCCCAGTCGGTTCTGAATCCTAACCTGTCCTCCACAGGGATAGTTTTCAGCAAAACCTGTTTAGAGCTAGGACTGGGCAATATATCTATATATCGTCCCAAACTGGTTTGAAGTCCATATCATGATAATCGGTATCATAATTTTTGACCTGACAATATATTGTGAATCGTGTGTGTGTTTATGTGCTATGCAAAAATCACGATGCAGGAAAAACCGTGAAGCCAGCCAATGCCTCTACATAAAGCTCCATCCTTGTTTCAGACATCGTGATATATCAATATACAGTCGTACCTTGGAAGTCAAACGGAATCTGTTCTGGAAGTCTGTTCCAAAAGGACTTCCAAAACGTTTGAAAACCAAAGCACAGCTACTGATTGGCTGCAGGAAGCTCCTGCAGCCAATCGGAAGCCGCAGAAACCCTTTTGGACGTTCGGCTTCCAAAAATAGTTCGCAAACCAGAACTTCTGGGTTTGTGATGTTCAGGAGCCAAAAGGTTTGGGAGCTAAGCTGTTCAGCTTCCAAGGTGTGACTATATTGCAGTGTTTAGCTGTGATATATCATGATGTTGAAAACCAAATATCGCCCAGCCCTGCCTAGAGCCCTGTGAGTGAGTTGGGCTGGATCTACAAATATCATAGCTATCAACCCTGGGGAAGTGGGGGGAAAGGGCCAGGGTTCAGGGAGAAATAACAGTTGTTGGAAGAAGGGTGATGGATCTCAAAGGGCTAAGCTTCCGGGATTCTTAAATAAGTGTCTTTGGCAAACCCTGGTTCAGAAATCATATGCAAAGATGCCTCTCCATGCTAAAAAGAGCGACAACAGGCTCAAGGGCTGTAAGTGAAGAAGCTGTCAGAGACTTTTCAGGGTCTCCAAGAATTAAGACCCACGGCTCCTGCTTCCTTGTCAACGAAGAATTGCTCACAGAACCTTATCACTCCCCTCCTCCCCTCCTTACTGTCCCAATCAGAGAAACAAAGGAGAAGTTAGATCCAAAGTGGCTGTGACAGTGGTTTGGCTCATATGCTGCAGTACTGTTTTTGGGGGATGGGGCAAACAGGTGTGGAGGACTCCCTGGTCCTGAATGGGGTAACTGTGCCCCTGAAGGACCAGGTGTGCAGCCTGGGAGTCATTTTGGACTCACAGCTGTCCATGGAGGCGCAGGTCAATTCTGTGTCCAGGGCAGCTGTCTGCCAGCTCCATCTGGTACGCAGGCTGAGACCCTACCTGCCCAGGGACTGTCTCGCCAGAGGGGTGCATGCTCTGGTTATCTCCCGCTTGGACTACTGCAATGCGCTCCACGTGGGGCTACCTTTGAAGGTGACCCGGAAACTACAACTAATCCAGAATGCGGCAGATAGATTGGTGACTGGGAGTGGCTGCCGAGGCCATTGGCTCCCATAAATCCTGCATGAGCTGCATACCCTCCAACAGTTCTCCGATGAAAATAGGGACATCCTGTTCCAGGCGTCAGGAAGGTTTATCTTAC